GTGCACGCGGCGAACACGCAGCACGCGACCGGTTTTCTTTCACCCCGATGCTAAACGAAGTTTTACCCGGCGGCCGCAAATCGTGTTCCGCTTTGCGTTCAGATCTTAGTTCGAGGCGCACTTTCCTTCCCTGTTGGATTCACTAACGTAAGATCGATGCGGCGACGAGGATGTGTAGGAAAAGAATGGATAAGGTTGAGATACGAGATGAGATTAAGTTGAAGATATAATGATATTTGGATAAAGAAGAGTGGAGGAAGAATTTGTATCGGAAAATTACGATTATGTGAAATTTATTCGTATTTATAATATATTTTAAGAAGATCGTTGAAGTTGAATACATCATGCTTGCGAAGCGAATGAAACTTAAACCTGTGTTGGCGAAGAGGAGAGAAGAAGAAGTGGACAATAGAGTGACCGAATAATACCGTTGGAATAACGAGAGAGAGATAGATAGATAGATAGAGAGAAAGAGGAGAGAGAGAGAGAGAGAGAGAGAGAGAGGGGCCGGTTATATGGAATTCACGACACGTAAGCATCGCCTCGTGTAATTTACTTTATTCAGCTTGACGGGCGCGCATGGCAATTAACGCAGCCCTCGTGAAAAGAAACGCGCAAGGTGTTTCGAAATTGTAGACCGCGCGCAATATAAATGGGGCCTGATACCGTAAACGCCGCCATCCACTTGGCTCGGTTGCATATTGTTTGATCCCTCGATCGATCGTTAAGGATCGGCCGTGTATTCTCCCGCCTTCTTCGTTGTTTATCGATTCGTCGAACTTCGATCATCGAATCTCAGTCGTCAAACTACTGTAACCTTCGATAATCGGTAATTTGTATCCTGCCGCGTGTGATTTTCTTACAGCCAGTAAAAATTACGAATATATATATATATACCCTTATGACAGAATAAATTTATTATTATATTCGTTACAGTTTCTTTCTTTTTCACGATTTACAAAGGTGTTAAATAAAATTTCGACTTCAAACCGACGATTCTTTAAACTTTTTTATATTGAGATAAAATAATATTTCTCGGCAATTTATAATTTCAAATTGGGGATCAATATTTTCTCGTCTTATCCATGCAAAGCTTTTTCAAAGAAGACCGTACAATCTACGATTCCAATCTAAACTTTCTGCAATCTTGATGAACGAAGAGACGAGACAAATAGAATACAATGCGAGGCGAAATCTCTCTGCACTTTTCCTCGGATGAACGCGCGCTTAGAATGCGGATGACGTGCCGTTCTAAAAGCCTTGTGTCGGACAATGGGCACGAGGCGCGTGAGAACGAAAAAAGGCGGCGGAGGAGATAAGGATGAGTTGCGTGTCACCCCATGGAGGAGCGCCTAAGTGGTGTCTAAAAATGTTCCTCGTTCAACGGGACAATGAGCGGACAATGGCGAGGCCGGTATTACAATCTGGGATTTCGAGCTACCGAGCATTTAGCTTTGCAAGCTCATCGTGAATCGGAAAAACTACTCTCTCAAGAGTGTACGTGGGAACGAACCACCTTTGGCTCAGGATTATCGTATCCTCTAGATGCTTTTTGTTATACTTAACCTCGTCGAGAACTTGAGATCAAAAGAAAATAAAGTATCGTTATATTATTATTCGATAATAATGTAAACCTGTTGAACATATTTTTGCTCCGGTAGAATAATAAGTGTTGATAATTGTAGAAATGACCATTATTTGAATGTGTTTAACATTCTTTCGAAACGTGACTTATCAGATATTATGTATTCACGTGTGCACTTCGAAAACATTTGTTCAGTAATTATATATATTTATTCATACTATCTTTGTGATAGAGGAAAATTTAGAGAGAATTTAAATTCGCGATATTTTTTTTTTTTTTCTTTTATTGAAGTTTTAAGTGAGTTTAATTTTAGAAGAATCGAGGCAATACGTTTGCTTGGTAAAAGAATATCGAATTCCTTTGAACTAATTTTGTGACAACGGAGGTGTGATCCGTACATTTGCATTGCTATTGCGAAAAGAAAAAGCAGCGACTATATCATTAAAGCCAATAATCGTTACAGAATACGTAAGTGCCACCATGTTTACGTATGCCGTGTCATGTTTCTTTCACACTTTTCAAAATGGCAACGTTATCTTGAGATTCTACAATGATGGTTCAGAATATTAAGGGACGATCGAAATGAAAGACTTGGGACAGGAAAGTTGAAAAGGATACATGAACATCGATTATAAATTAAAGGCATTCGAGCGTGTTCAATCGGCGAGCGTATCGTGTATTGCACAGCGTGTGACATTTTCGTGCCATTGATCTTTATGAATCGGCAAAAATTTTAGATAATTTTTTAAATACTACGGATTCTATTAGTTCTTTAAAAAAAAAAAATATCTATATCATCGTTGGAACCATTCTTTGTCAGCGAGAAGAAAATCATTTCCAATCATCTGTATCATTCTTAATTATCTTATATATCATTGTATTATTAATTTTGCGTCTCGTTGTTCATTGTCGTGGATATCTCGACAATCTTGTTGATCGATCGAAAACCGATTTGCATGGCATGCAAATGACACGGCCGCTATCAGTTTTATTGCCGACCGAATATTTATAAAAATTCTAACCCGATGGTCTATAAATGACATCTATATTACGAAAAAAACTTTGCTTAGTGCGAAACAAAATTGATTGATGAAAATTGAAGTTGACAAAAAAATTTAAATACACAACCTTGAAAAAAGCCTTCCAGGAAAAAAAAAAAAATTTTCTCTTAAACGAGTCGAGCAGGGAACACTAGCGCCGCCACGCACGTAACTAACCTACTGTTGTTAATCATCCTCTTTACTCCGCGCCCCCCATTTACTTAACGAGACAATTTTCAATTGACGTGCAATCTCGACGTGCAACGAGGAGGGAGCCCATCCCATAACCGTTCTGCGAAACCGTGCAGAATTTACGGAGAACGACGAGACCCGGTCGCGAAGACCGTTCAAAGAAGAAAGTCGTTGCATCCGATCGACAATGGCGACCGTCGTCGTTGAAAAGAGCAAAGAGTTTGCGCAGGATCGAACCGACGAGGGGAGGGGAGGGGGAAAGGGGATAGGAGGAGGGGGAGGGAGAAGCCTCGTAATCGCGATTAATTTTATCAAAGTGAATCGCGGCCGCTGTAGTAAATACATCGGAAGGCGAAATTGCCGCGCTTAGTACTAATTACCGACTTCCACTTAAAGTGATTAACGCAGGAATTATAAGATACGATGCCTTCTGTCCATCTCTAGATAGTGTCGATTTCCAATTAGCCGTAATAACGTATAGCTTTACCGGAGCCGGTAATTGCTTCTCGAATAAATTGTCGGAGAAAACGCTGTCGTTTCGAACATTACACATCCGACGAGACACGGCGTTGCATCTCCTCTCCTCTCCTCTCCTATGTAGTACGCGTTTATTTATGTTAATTAACCGCGGCATTTTAGAAACGAGCGCGCGCGGCTCGTTCAAATATATCCCGGCTCGCCGTTTGGTGGCGTTTCCGCGAAAACGCTTAAATAAAATCGTTCTTCCTAGAGAACGTTTTGTCGTTAGAATGCGAAATCGAGTCCAAAGGGGAGCTGTTAATTAACGAGGTGAACGAGTGAAAAATTTCTCCTTCCTTCCCTCGATTCCAACTCTTCTGAACCATGATTGATTTTTATCAACAACGGAAATAAAAATAAAATTGTCCAATTGGGAAGAAATAAGCGAATAAAGATTATTATCGTTTCAAAAAAAATTCTTGGCGATTCCACTCCCAATTCCATTCGATGCCCCCCTCTTCTTAATTGGTATCCCTCCACCCATTAATTAGCAACGATTATTACGCCCGCGAATCAGGATCGTTCACGCTTCTCTTCGAATCTCCTCCCCCTCGACAAATTTCCATCAAGAGGATGGAATACAGTTTTAGTGCACGCGTTGGAGGGGGCAGGCAGGCGTGCACAACGGCGTCCGTGTTCACAACGGAACGTGACTTGCAGTTGGCCGCGGAGCGGTGTGCAATTGCAAATTCGTAAGGCGCCGCCGGGAGGCCGTGGAGCGTGGCGCGTTCGACGGTGGCGCCGGAAGCGCGGGCAACCGGGCGTGTCAGCGCTGACCAGCGCAACGCCGCGCTTCTTTTGCCACCGTTCCGTCCCGGTGCACCTGCACACCACGCTCCGCAATGCACGCCACGGCGGCTACCGTGATTGGTCTTCCACCCACGCGTGCCCTCGCCAGCTTGGAACCAGTCCCCAAACCCGAAACGAAAACGCCCGCCGCTTTTACCTGGCCCGCTCGAAACCACCCGTATTCGTCGATAGGGCCAGGCGACAACCTGTGTTTATGACCGTCTTAATACGCCTGATAACCGCCGCCCAGGCCTCGGCATTGGTCGGCGGCTAATTATTACCAAGATTTAATTAATTGAGCGTGTATGCAGATGTGATCACGAGGGATATTTATAGCAGGGGAAAGTGATGAATATAAAGGTAAACTCGGTAAAGCTTTTGGGAAACGTTGGGAAGAGAGATAGAGAGGAAGGTCAACGTGATTTTTTTTTTTCTTTTTAATTGAGAAAAAGGTATAATTAATTTTTCAGACACGAAATTTTTATCGGTTAATGATTAGTATGCGTAATTTTTACCGATCGAGAAGAAAAAAATCTTGCATTTGTCCTAAGAAAAAAAGAAAAAAAAAAATACGCGAGACAAGTTTAATCAACTTCGCTTTCTTTTTTACTATAAATTTACTTGAAATTGAAATTACTCGTATTTCCAGAACCTACGTTCGTTAACGTCAAAATTGATCATCGACACGAAGAATCGGACATCGCATCGTCTTCCGCAGCATCGCCAACGTAAGCAAGGAAGGAAAGAAGGAATAAAGAAACCGGAAACGCGCGAAAAACGGTTGCCGAGTCGATCAATCTCTCTTCCTAAGACGTCTAGCCGAGTTTCATCCGGCAGCGTCCAAGTGGAAGAAAGAAGGGCACAAGGTGGCTCGTCGATATCCGCGAAAATAGTGGAGGGAGGGTGGGCGAAGAACGAGAGGGAGAAGGAGAAAAGGAGGGACGAGGGGTTGGAAGAGGAAGAAGGCAAAGAGGACTGGCAAGGGGGCACGATCGAAGTACGTCGGACAGCAAGGAGGCGCCGGTACTGCGCGCCACACCCCAATGCAGCAACTCCATTGATTATTGTTGCCGGTGCACTTCCTACCCCGCCTTTGGCGAACGACAAGTATGCCCTGATTCCAGGTCCCAGGCAAGCGAGCGTCGGCGGCGGCGGTTGCAAGGTGTTTCGTGCCGGCAACATTCCATGTTAGGAAATTTGTAAGAGGCCGTCGCCGCTACAAAACAATGCTAATGCGCCTCCAGTCTGTCTCCTCGATCTCCTCCTGCCTTTTCTTCGATCCTGATGCCGCCTGTATCCTTGCATCTAATTTTGCTTAAAAAGGATTACGGATTAAGGATATTGCATTTGCTTGCGAAAATTTGTCCGTTTCGGATTCTTCTTATTTTTCTTTCTTGTAAAAATTCTAAGAGGAGTCAGGGTTACTTTCACTTCCTTCAAAATAATCAAATTTCTTGAACTTTTTCCAGAAATCAATATCGCGAATAATCTTACTCGTCCTGATAAATTTCAAAATTCATTTCTGATGATTGGCTGATCCAAAGGATTGTGTACATTAAGAGCAGAAAAGGGTGACAAAGTAGCAAGGACCAAAGGTATCTATCCATCAAAGTGGCGAGTGGATAAACGTGGAACTCTCGAATGCGGGTCACGTTGTGGGGTTGCATGCAGGAAAATAACGGAACCGGTGTCAAGTCTGGTGGCGGTGCAAAGCGCGTGGCGGCCGAAGGGGGATAAAAAAAAAGGAAGAAAAAAAAAGAGAGAGAGAGAGAG